ATGTCTGGACCCAGGCGGGGGTCTGGACCCAGGCAGGGATCTGGACCCAGGCATAGGACCGGACCCAGGCAGGGATCTGGACCCAGGCATAGGTCTGGACCCAGGCGGAGCGTCGGCGTACAGCTTGCACCTGCAGGATGCTTATAGTGGAGAACCTGAATGTGTTGGTGGTCCACGTCATGGAGACGCTCTCAAGTCCATCAGTGGCTGGATTCTGTGTCTGCTGAGTGTTTCTGACCCTCTGAACTCACTGTGGGCTCATTCTGGTCTGAAATATAAAGTCTGGAAGTAGAGAGAACGCAGGAACGTCTTCGGTGGATTCGAATCGTGAAAAAAGTTGAATTATTATTTTTGAAAATGAAAAATAAAATGGAAGTGACCAGTCAGAGTCCACAGCAGAGCAGTGACTCCACGTCTCAGACTTTTAACTATTTACACGTTCGTTTGCCTCCTCTGTCGCTGATCTGAGTTCAGCTGAAAACGTTTTGACGTTCGCTCGCGGCTTCAGATCTTCTAGTTTTCACAGAATGTTTTTGGAGCAAAGGGTTGATTTGTTGAGACTTTTTAAACAAGAGAAAATAAAGCTTAGTGAAGGGACACGGTGATGCATTCGAGGACGGTTCGTTGGGATCGTGGCGGTTGTTTAAAGACGCGTCTGGACGCTGCCGGTGGGTTCAGAGAGTTACGGCGTCACGGTGGCTGTTTAGCATAAATGTGTGTTTCTATACGCGTTGCAGGCGATCATGTGACGGCTTCCCGGCTGCCGATTGGACCGCGGCGGCTCTCAGGTGTTCTCAGGCGAGTCTCCTCAGCGTTAGAGCAAGCAGCAGTGCTTCTTCTTCTTCTTGCCGCTCGGCCCGTTCTTGTCTTTGCTCTCGGACATTTTCTTCTTGCGAACCTCCCGCATGAGGTCGAAGAAAACCTGCAGACGACACGACGGTGAGGCTCAAGAGAAGAGACTCAGACAAGACTGACTTCAGAGCAGATTCAAAACATCACACTTTAGCTTTTAGACTCAATCTGCACATTTCTGTGTAAAGATGCATAAACTCAAACCATGAGTGTATAAATGAGGTGAAAACTGGAGCTGTGGCGCCCTCTGGTGGCCACAGCGGCTTATTACAAACTGTAGCACTTCAGATATATGTTTAACAAAGACTCCTGGAAACATCAGCTGTTTTCACAGTTTCAATGACAAACGTTTCATATCCATGTAGGTTTGAGCTAAAGGTTTGAAATCAGAACCAACATTTATATTCAACAAAACACTAATTCTGCAGGTTTCCTGTGTTTTATGAGAAAACAGATTTTAATTCATAAATTTGACAAATGAACTCCGTTTTCTCTTCGTGGTGCGTTTGTGGCTCCGTCGGTAGAATTTCTTTACTCTGCACCAGCTTGTATCACATTAAATCCCTGAATGTCGGCGTTTCAGGCGTTTGCGTACCTTGTCCACGTTGGCTCTGGTCTTGGCCGACGTCTCCACGTACTGGACGCTCCACTCGCTGGCCTTCGCCGCCGCCTCCTCGGCCAAAACCTGCCGCCGCTCCTCCAGGTCCGACTTGTTGCCGACCACCAGGAGAGGGATGGCTTCCTCCTCCTTCACCCGGAGGATCTGCTCCCTGAGAACAAGCAGCCAAAACCCAACAAAGTCCCGTCTGATGCTTCGTCGACACAAACTGTTGTTTCACGAAGTCGCGCAAAAGTTTTTCTGGAAATGTGAATATTTTCAGCTACAGGCGACAAAAAGACACAAAACGAACACAAAGACACACGAGATACAAAACACCCACAAAGACTCCGAAAGAGACGCAAAACGACCTTAAAAAGACTTAAAACTCCGCTAACGACGAAAACAAACCTGAACTCGGACGTGGCGCTGAAGGACTCGTGCTCCGTGATGGAGAAGACGAGCAGGAAACCTTCGCCGCTCCTGAAGTAGTTGTCCCTGATGGCGGCGTAGTCCTCCTGCCCCGCCGTGTCCAGGATGTCGATCTGGACGTCTTCGCCGTCCAGCACCACCTTCTTGCGGTAGCTGTCGGCCTTGGTGGGCTCGTAGTCCTCCACGAACTGCGAGCAGAGACGGGTTATGAGGCGGGACGCAGACAGAGGGGCTGATGGGAAATGTGGTCCTGAGGTCTCACCTCGTCGTACATGAACTGCAGGGTGAGCGCCGACTTCCCCACGCCGCCGCTGCCCACCATGATCACCTTATGGAGGACCAGAGACGTCTGGGTCTTGTTCTTACCGGACGACATGACTCCGGTCCACCCTGAGAACTGAAGACCTGCAGGAACCAGGAGGAACCAGGAAAAGACCATGAAAGGACCATGAAAGGACCAGGAGAATCAAGGAGGGCCCAGGAGCAAACAGGAAGGCACCAGAAAAGACCAGGCGAGTCCAGGAGAGACCAGAAGAGACCAGAAGGGAACAGGAGGAGAATCAAGGAGGGACCAAGACGAGGGACCAGGGGGGAAGCAGGAGAGACCACCATGGACCGGTGGAGACCAGCAGGAGGAACAAAACATCAAAACATCTGTTAGGTGTTGTAAACGTTCACAGTTCTACCATATTTAATAAAAATGTAAAAACATGAATAAATTCAAGTAACATGGTGAGAAAATAAAACGTCCAAACCTGTCAAACCTTTAAAGAACGTTGGGAACAGACCTGCAACGAGAAAACACACATTTGATCAGTTCTTCTGTTTATTGGTAGAAAAAAACGACAAAATTCTGCACTTCTTCACACAGCGTCATGAAATCTGGTTCTGATGGGTTCAGAGTTCTGCTTTATCTTCAGAAACAGAAGCTGATGTTCAGAAAAATGTCAACCGAAGTCAGACAGCGAGAAGAAAAGCAGCTGCTTCAGTACTGATAAAGAAAATCATCTCATGTTTATGACAAACGACATGTTTTAAACAGCAGCTTCTTTAATTAAATAACAATAATGTTAAAAGTAAAATGATAAAAGTACTTTAAAATATAAATATGTTTAAAAATAAAATTATAAAAATAACTTGATGACATTTTTTAATCAAAACTCTAAACATTTAAATAATAAACAACTCATCCCAACGTGTTTACCTCATATGATGTAAAATACATCTGAGTGAACACCCCGTTATTAACAATAATGATGATGGAACTGAGGGCCAGACTATATGCCCCAGGTCTTCCTGCCCCAGGTCTTCCTGCCCCTCTGCCCCCCTGCCCCCCTCCGGTCGGACCAGTGCTGCCGCCTGATCCCGGAGCTGCTCTGTTGACTGATAAACACCTCATGACCTTTATGGTCCTGGACGCAGCTACAGGACCAGCACGAGGCGGCCGTCCCGCCACAGCCGGCGGCTCGCTGTCCGTCAGAGGCCGCTGGAGCCTCCGCAGCTGGAAAGCAGCTCAAAAACACCGAGAAACGGTCAAGTTCTGGTTAAAAGAGGAACTTTGAGTGAACTTCCTCCCAGCTGACACAAACACTCCGCTAGTCCCGCCCCCGGCCGCCACGGCGCCGCTGATTGGCCGAGCGCCGCCGCATCGCGCTCCTATTGGCCGGCCGCGCCGCCGCTCCCCGCGCTCTGACAGCTAGCTGGACCGCGGACACAAAACGCTGCAGTCGCGTCGGGCTTCAAACCCGAAAAGTGTCGGAAAAACGGCCTCCGAGCGGAGCGGGAGCGAGTCCTGGCGGCCTCACGGGGTCCGGGCGAACAGCTCCGACTCACCTGCTCAGGTGTCTCCGCCTCGTTCAGCCAGAAACCCGCAGAGAAGTGAACTTTTCCACGAGTTGACGCGCAGCCGCACCTTGTAGCCGGAGCCAGCCGAAGATCGTGTGTGACGAGCGGAGGACTCACTCTGCGCCGCGCCGCCGATCGGGCTGGAAGAGAAGCAGAAACAACGACCAGAGAGACGGTAGAAGGACCGAGAACAGGCTCAGCATCCTCCTGCTGCTGCTGCTGCTGGGATCATGTCCAATACAGCTAAAGACATAAGATCAGAAAACATCATTAAACTGCATCACAGGGCATGAAAAGTACTGGAATAGGACTGAAGGAACGAAAACATTCAGTTACATACAAATAATAAGAATAAAAGAACTACAAAAGTACTGGAATAAATAATCAGGCTATAAAATACAAAAGGTAACAAATACTGATGCCAGTAAATCACATCCACATAAAGTCTTTATATTATTAAAAAACAGATGAACACAAACCTGCAGACGTCAGACATACGGAGGATGAACTTAATCAATAATAACTGAAACAGGCTCGACCAATCAGAAGGGCTGAGTGATTTAAAAGTCATAAAAATAACAATATAGATTTAAATGAAATAAACAAAAACACATAAAAACCACAGAAATGCAAAACAAGAGATAAATAATAACAATAATAATAAACATAGCAGAGAACAACACAAGTGAGCTTCATGTTGATAAAAATAACATTAAAATAATAATGACAAAGAATTACAGGAAAGAATATTAGAAAACACACATTTCACTTCCTCTGTAATGAAAAACAATAAAAACACAAACAGAAGAGGCCCGACAGCAGCAGACTGGATGAAACCACATCAGAACTCAATCAAATGAACCGACAGCAAGTTCTTACAAAACCAAACAAAAGTAAAACAACAATAATACTACATAAGTAAAATAAAAATATTAACTTAAAAATGGTAAATATAATATTTTGTAGTTACAAAAGTCAAGACAATGAAAAACTATAAACAATAAATAAATCTAATATTAGTAAATAACAACAAAAAACTAAAACGATAATTAAACATATACATATTAATAAATAATATATAGCTCAAATAGGACATAAGTGGTCTCCAAACATTTGATTATTCATTAACTGAAATAAAACGCAGTTATTTTTTCTGTTTTTCTGAAAAACAGTCGGAGTGACACATCGTCACTTCCACTCCTCTCTGGGGAGGCCGGAAGTGACGTCAAGGAATTCCTCATGTTTACTGTATTTCATCAAAACTGTAAAGAGATAAAAACAAACTCCTGCAGATGTTTTCATTTCATTTGACAGATTTTCACACCAGAAGGTGAAACGACTCCAACGCGCTGCAGTCAGAAAAATAACAAAATATGATTTTAAATCACATGAAGTTATGCATTTTAAAAATAAAACTATAAAAATGTTAAAACATACGACAATTAAACGCACAAATAAACTAATTAACACAGAGTTACAGGAGACAACAGAAAAAAACACAAAACTTAAAAAGACATAAAAATAAAAACAATAAATATAATTCATCTGTCTGGAATTAAGAAATAAATAAAACCTGCAATACATAAGTCGTATCTGAGGTTCAGTCAAATCCTCTGAAGTTTTCATCTTTTTTTTAAAGCAAAGAAACTCGTTAAATCTAACGAACCTTCAGCTTGTGTGTCTTACATTCATAATGTTTGTGGTTTGACTCTTTGAGCAGCGAACAAAGACTCCAGATGAAAACACTCACTCTGCATCTCAAACACCACAGATCTGTACACACACATATACACACATATACACACATATATATATATGTATGTATATGTGTGTGTATTAGAGGTTTTTGTGCTTGTAGTTCCAGTATTTGGAACAAAGATGGCGCCATTTCATAGTTTTACTCACACACAGCCTGTGAACACCTTCAGAGATCAAACCTTTATTCTGAAACGTTGAGTTAAAGTTTGATGGAAACCTGCTGGATGACTGACAATAAGACGTTCTGTAGCTGAGGTTCTTGTTGTCAGATGTGAGTCAGCATCCAGAGGGTGACCACAGCTCTGGTGGCTGGTGTTGCTCGGTGAGGACCTCCAGCTGATGTGTTTTGGAGGTTTAACTAACAAATGCTGCCGTCCGGTCGTCCTGAGTCGCGTTTGTTCGGGCAGTCGTGGATCAGCTCACCTATCACAGCAAAGACTCGACTCATTTGGACATTTGAATGATTAAAACCAACTCTGGTGGAAAAGTAACGCTGTGGTTTGATCTCCTGAAGCTCTTTCATCTGCATGTTACCCTGAAGACTCACCAACTCTTTCCAGAAGTATGTGGACACCATCCACAGGCTTTAATACAATCACATTCAAGAGGAACATTTTGGTGTCCACATACTTTTGACGGCATCTTCTCACATGTGTGAAGCTAAGCTAGCCGTGTTCTTCTATGTGACGTCATCTATTGTTAAAACTGGTTTTAGAGATCTATCTTCTTGTTGACCTGTGTTGTTGTGTTCATAAATGTTATTTCTTTTGATGAGCTGCGAGCTTCATCAGGTTAACTTCAGTATTTTCACACACGAGTTGATGATTTGTTGAACTAAACAACAAAACTTTACCAAAGTCCTTTTGGAAAACAGTCGTTTTAAGGACACGAGTCAGTCGCTGCTAACCGCCGTGAGCATCCCGCTACGCTACTTGAAGTGAATTAAAACCCAACTGACAGGAGCCTTTACAGCGAAGCTCTTTAGCTTTTGATCTGGACGTTTTTACTGCGTTTAATGTTGCGTTCTCTACATAACGCTGCTGCAAAACATGTGAATAACAACACATTTATCTTATTAGTTATAGTCGCTGATCGCGTCCCCAC